TTCCTAGACTTCGGTTGAGCTATGGCAGGTAATTGTTGGTTTGTTGTGGCTATTTTTCAAACTACTCCAAGTGATTCAATAGGGGGCATTGAAGTTCGATGTGTCACACTACCTTGGAACAAAAGCCTACGCATTCCAAGAAAGGGTGGTTGGGTGTCTTCTCAGTTTTAACTTCATATCTCAATGTCTTCTAAAAATACAGGGTTAGTCAAAATGAATAGGCCAATAAGAAAATTAATTTTAGACGAATGTATGTTTACTGTAACCAAACCACAGCTACGTAGCGACAGATAAACTATCAAAGTTTTTTTTGAGCAACACACATGTACGTTAATGCCGCTAGGCGTCGCTGTTTTCAAAATGGCGGATTCAAGCAAAGAGAAGGCGTTTTGTGTGATGACATTTGCTAAAACAATGTCAGTAATTACGGTCCAGCGAGAATTTCGAGCCAAGTATGGCAAGGAACCACCTCATCGACATTCCATTGCGAGGTGGGTAAAGCAATTTGAGGAGACGGGCTGCTTATGCAAGGGTAAAACCACAGGACGACCACGTGTCTCCGAAGACACAGCTGCATTCGATGCCATTACGTCGGATGTGCTGCAACGGATGTGGAATGAACTGGACTATCGCTTGGACATCTGCCGTGTCACACGGGGCGCCCATATCGAACATCTCTGAAGGTGAGACAAAACTTTGATAATTTATCTGTCGATACGTAGCTGTAGTTTGGTTACAATAAACATACATTCGTCTAAAATTAATTTTCCTATTGGCCTATTCATTTTGACTAACCCTGTATTAAATATCAATAAACACAAAACCCCTCCTAATTTCACCAATTTTAAACTAGGGGGTGGGGGGGTGGGTTTAAAAATTTTTTTAGGTTAGGTAAATTTTGTTCTTCAGTGAAGTCCTTACTGTTCTTCTCCTGCAGCTCAACCCAAGAGTAAGAAAACATTAGCCAAAAATGGGGTGAAGAACATTGTGGTGGTGGATGGGGTCCGCATCCCGTTTCTGCAGTCTGGAACTTCGTAAGTATTGCGCCCTTCATTAACATATAACGGTCATAATAAATAATTATAACAATATAACCACAATAAATAATAATGATAATAATATAACAATAAATAATAATAATAATAATAATAATATCCAGAGAAAGAGACTGCACTGAATTCCCAGGCAGATTATATTCCACTAAAGTTGGAACCCCACCGGTCATCTAGTCCAACCTTCTGCTGTGCAGGGAGACACAACGCAAACCCTCTTGACAGATCGCCATGCAGCCCCTGAATAATCTATATAAATAAGAATGTAATGTTCATAGAATCCTAGAATCAAAGAGTTGGAAGAGACCTCCTGGGCCATCCAGTCCAACCCCATTCTGCCAAGAAGCAGGAATATTGCATTCAAATCACCCCTGACAGATGGCCATCCAGCCTCTATCAGGGGTGATTCGTTTGTGGGCTTAACAGAACTCAAAAACCACTGGATGAACTGTCACCAAATTTGGACACAAGACACCTAACAACCCAGTATATGTCCTTCACTTGTAGTGGCTGGGATTTATAGTTAACCTATGCATTCGAACTCCACCAAACGATGGAATTGAACCCAACGTGGCATAACAGGAGTCCCATGACCAACAGAAAACACTAGAAGGGTTTGGTGAGCATTGATCTTGAGTTTGGGAGTTGCAGTTCACCTACATCCAGAGAGCACTGTGGACTCAAACAAGGATGGATCAGGACCAAACTTGGCACGAATACTCCAAATGCCCAAATATGAACACAGAGTTTGGGGGAAATAGACCTTGACATCTGGGAGTTGTAGTTACTGGGATTTATAGTTCACCTACAATCAAAGAGCATTCTGAACCCCACCAATGACAGAATTGCGGCAAATTTCCCTCACAGAACCCCCTTGACCAACAGAAAATACTTAAGGCTATCCAGTCCAACTCCCTTCACCAGGGCAAGAAAATGTAATCAAAGCCCTCCTGACAAAGAGCCAACCAGCCATAGATGTAGATAGATATATATGATCCACACACACACACATAGTATCCTAGATTTGAAAGGGACCCCTGAAGAAGGACAATGATATGTTGCATGTTCCAAAGTAGACAAACCAGACAATCTCCACATCAACACTGACAAAGAAACAACAAGAAATACTGTTGACCCACAAGCAGAAAGACATCCCATATATTAGAAACCAATATTTTCTCATTACTTTATTTTTCAGATCACCAGGCTGGGCCACAGCAACGCCTGGCAGGGGACAGCTAGTAAATAATAATAATAATAATAATAATAATAATAATAATAATAATAATAATAATATCATCACCCAGAGAAAGAGATTGCACTGAAATCCCAGGCAGATTATATTCCAGTAAAGTTGGAACCTCACCAGTCATCTAGTCCAACTTTCTGCTATGCAGGAAGACACAACACAAACCCTCTTGACAGATCGCCACGCAGCCTCTGAATAATAATAGTAATATAACCATGAATACACAACCTAGGAGGCGGCTGAGGTTGGCAAGTAAACTCTTTATAAAACTTACTGTTAATTTGGTTTTTTTCGGTTCTGTTTGCCTTCAGTGAGTCGAACAACAAAAAGTACATCATTGAGGTGTTAATCTTTGTGTTTCCTTCCCTTCTAACTAATCCTCAGGTATGCAGATTTGATGCCGCATGACCTGTCCAGAGCAGCACTCAAGTAAGTAGCCAATGAATGAAGGAAGGACAGGGATATTTGGCAAAGAAATGCAGCTGGGAAAGACTTCTGTTCAAAAATAATAATAATAATAATAAACCTTTATTTATATACCGCTCTATCTCCCGGGGGGGGGGGGGGGGACGACTCAGGGCGGTTTCCAAACAACATCACCAAAAACATACAGAGTAAAACAGCATAATATAAAATTATCATAGAATCATACAATCAAAGAGTTGGAAGAGACCTCCTGGGCCATCCAGTCCAACCCCATTCTGCCAAGAAGCAGGAATATTGCATTCAAATCACCCCTGACAGATGGCCGTCCAGCCTCTGTTTAAAAGCTTCCAAAGAAGGAGCCTCCACCACACTCCGGGGCAGAGAGTTCCACTGCTGAACGGCTCTCACAGTCAGGAAGTTCTTCCTCATGTTCAGATGGAATCTCCTTTCTTGTAGTTTGAAGCCATTGTTTTGTGTCCTAGTCTCCAGGGAAGCAGAAAACAAGCTTGCTCCCTCCTCCCTGTGGCTTCCTCTCACATATTTATACATGGCTATCATATCTCCTCTCAGCCTTCTCTTCTTCAGGCTAAACATGCCCAGCTCTTTAAGCCGCTCCTCATAGGGCTTGTTCTCCAGATCCTTGATTATTTTAGTCGCACTCCTCTGGACACATTCCAGCTTGTCAATATCACTCTTCAGTTGTGGTGCCCAGAATTGGACACAACATAAGCATAATATTATCACAATAACACATATGTATTACAAATAATCCTGCCTGCTCAGAGCAATCAAAAGACTGGGCCGAGGCTAGTGCAAACTCAAAATATGAGGGGACCGGGAATTAAGTGCAGTGCTCTAACAGGCTAACGGCAATAGCAGATACTGTTTTATTGATGCGTTTAGTTTTTATTATATGTTATGTTTTTAATTTGTATTTATGACATTGTAAGTATTGAAATTTGCCCTGTTAACCACCTTGAGTCACCTACGAGCTAAGAAAGGCGGTATATAAATACAGTAAATACATAAATAAATAATATTCATGCCATAGCAAAGGAACTTATTTGATTAATGACCTCAGAAGTTGTGCTCTAAAACTATAAATGAGTAGGATAGCTGTGAACTTTTGACCACAGAGGAAACAGAAGAGCCAGAGGTCTTATTACTGAGCTCTTGAGCCGATCTCTCATCCAGCTTATGTGCAACCAGCTCTTGAGCTCCAAGTATTTGAGCTTGTTGTCAGGGATCGTGGCAGGCCTCTGCCTATGTATTTTGGAGGAAAGGTGTGCCCAGACATTCTCTGTCTGCCCAAATGACCTTTCCTTCCGACCTCTTCCCTCAGAGGCTTGCTGAACCGGACCGATGTGCCGAAGGAGGCTGTGGAATACATTGTGTTTGGCACCGTGATCCAGGAGGTGAAGACCAGCAATGTGGCCCGAGAGGTATGTGAAGGGTTGGCTGTAATCTATACAACCCATATAGACTACTGCAACGTGCTCTATGTGGGGTTGCCTTTGAAGACTGTCTGGAAGCTTCAAATGGTCCAACGGATGGCAGCCAGATTAATAACAGGAGCGATGCTCAGGGAGCACACGACTCCTCTGTTGCGCCAGCTCCACTGATGCTACCGGGTGTTGCCACTCAGAGTAGGCTTCACCTTGCTTCCAAACACCACCACACAAGAGCTGTAGTTTTACAGTTTATTGAGGAAAAAAGTCCAAGTCAAAATAAGAATAAGCATTGCAAAGTCCCAGAGATTAAGGTGAAATGCAGAATACAGTTCCAAAGATCTTCAGGTAAAAGATCTATTAGCAAAGTTCAAACCAGAGCCCCAGGTACAAGCAATGGAACATTTGCCCCATCACGATGCAAGAAATCCCAAGCATGCTGCTTTCCAGGCTAAGGTTATTCCATGAAGCTTTCAGGCTAATAAGCTATGTTGAACTGACACTTTCACAGAGTTTCCAGGAGGCCTAAATACCTTTCTAACATCAAAACATTAGGCTCTCAGCATCATAAAAGCATTGCGATGACCTCTCACCGAGCTAGCCTCCCGTCTGCTTGCCAGACCGAACTCCGCCTGACCCGGAGATCAAGGCGAGCTTCTCGGGTCAAATCCTTATCTACACTTTCGGTATCATTGTGGGAAGGCACCTGCTCGCTATTTCCTTCGTTAAATTCCTTTCTGGTGAAAACAGCTGTGTTGACATTGCACTGTCTGTGAGAGCCTCGGAAGCAGGCTCAGAGATTTGAGGCACAGACAAAGAGGCAGGAAGCTGAAACCCAACAGAAATCTGAATCCCATCATCCTCATTATCAGAAACTAGCTCAGCCACAACACCGGGCACAATTCAAAGTGCTGGCTTTAGCCTATAAAGTCCTAAATGGTTCTGGCCCAGCTTACCTGTTTGAATGTGTCTCTCTCTATGAACCATCTCAGAGATTAAAATCTTCTGGGGAGGCCCTGCTCTCGATCCCGCCTGCATCACAAATAAGTTTGGTGGGAACGAGAGACAGGGCCTTCTCAGTGGTGGTCCCTCGGCTATGGAACGCCCTTCCTAGGGACATTAGATCAACCCCCTCCCTCTTAACATTTGGAAAAGAGTCAAGACTTGGTTGTTTGAGCAAGCATTTGAAAATGTAAGGTAAAAGACATAGGAATTGGAATGACTGGACGACAAGATGGGACAATATTTTTATTAAGAGATGCAAATGATGTATGCTTTTAGTATTCTTATTATGGTTTTACATTATGTGTTAATGTTTTAAAATGTTTTTTGCTGGTTTTGTGCATCAAATTGTTGCCATTGTAAACTGCCCTGAGTTGACTAAGGGCTGAGAAGGGAGGGATACAAATGCAGTAAATAAATAAATAAGATCTAGGGAAGTCCTGCTCCCCATGCTCTGGTTAGACCACACCTGGAATATTGTGTCCAATTCTGGGCACCACAATTCAAGAGAGATATTGACAAGCTGGAATGTGTCCAGAGGAGGCGACTAAAATGATCAAGGGTCTGGAGAACAAGCCCTATGAGGAGCGGCTTAAGGAGCTGGGCATCTTTAGCCTGAAGAAGAGAAGGCTGAGAGGAGATATGATAGCCATGTATAAATATGTGAGAGGAAGCCACAGGGAGGAGGGAGCAAGCTTGTTTTCTGCTTCCATGGAGACTAGGATGCGGAACAATGGCTTCAAACTACAAGAGAGGAGATTCCATCTGAACATGAGGAAGAACTTCCTGACTGTGAGAGCCGTTCAGCAGTGGAACTCTCTGCCCCGGAGTGTGGTGGAGGCTCCTTCTTTGGAGCTTTTAAACAGAGGCTGGATGGCCATCTGTCAGGGGTGATTTGAATGCAATATTCCTGCTTCATGGCAGAATGGGATTAGACTCAATGCCATAGACACACAACATATATAGACAGACACAGAGGCTATTTAACATTCCAGCTTTTTCATGAGGGTATTCTGGCCACCAGGGGAGCTGTCACTTCACCATCCATTTGTGACACTGATCAAGTACTTCCTCATTCTTTGCATGCTTGCTGGAGATTTTTATGGTGTCGTAAACCCCTGCATAAGCAGTACCTAAATTTCCTACTTGACAGATGCAACTGTCTTTCGGGATGCAAAGTTTGACAGCAAACTACACAAATTGGTCGGAAGCTCATTCCGACCCGTGCTGGCTTCGAACTCATGACCTTTTGGTCAGTGGTAATGCAGCTGACTCCTAGCAAGCTGTGCTGCAGTCCCGCCACATTTGAATGTTTTTGAACTGCTAGGTTGGCAGAAGCTGGGCCTAACAGTGGGAGCTCACCTCGCTCCCCGGATTCGAACCTGTGACCTATCGGTCCGCAAGTTTAGCAGCTCAGTGGTTTAACACACTGCGCCATCGGGGACTCCATACAAAAAATCCAATGTTTTATCTCTTGTATAACAAAAACACATTACAAAAACATTATGCAAGAGATAAAACATTGGATTAAAATACATCAAAACATGATTATCCATCATAAAGCTGAATCCAAATCTGATTTAGCGACTGATGACTCAGTCCAAAACCCGTTATTGTCAGAGTTCAAACATTACGATGACTGCCAAACCTTAATTGTGCCGTCCTGACATTGAAAGTATTCCGGACTTTTGTTGTACTCCGGACTTTTTTTGTACTCCGGAAACTTTGGGTTTTTTTGGCTGCCACAAACTAGGTCGAATTGGCTGAGACTCAATGATGAAAAAGTGGAGCAAAATGTGCCATAGCAGGATGTTCCTCTCACAGAAACAAAGTTTGGGCAGTTTAATACACTTTCCCCATGTTTTTAGGATGGAACCAATTAGGAAATGGAACCAATTCATAACAAAAATTGTGTTCGATAGCGTAATGCTTGAGTCTTGCTGTCTTTTTGGCCTGTGCTGACGCATAGCTCCCCGGCCACTTCCTGAACTTTGGCCCAGTTGGCCGTGATGTCTCAACAGAGGCGTGTCGCTCTGTGGTTTATTGTGTGTGTCCAGGGATCATCTGTGGCTCCAGCCAATCCCTGCTGTGTCATTCGTAGGCTGTTCCCAGGGGCCAGGCTGCCCAGTCCATTTCTCCAGCCCCTGCCCTTGCTCTGCCTCGCAGTGTTTTTCCAAGTTTGCAAGGAGAGTGCGATCTTTCCAAGCCCTGCTGACCGAGTGGCTGCCAAGGGTCAAACACAAGGGCCTTTCCCAAGCAGCGGAATAGTTTCCATTCAGAAAGACATCCTCTTTGAGGCCCACAGTCCGGAGATTTTCCACCTTGTGGTCAAATGCAGGCCACATCTGTCTGAAAAACAACTTATTTATTTATTTATTTAGAAGTTTTATATACTGGTCTCCTCCTTACTTACTTACTTACTTACTTACTTACTTAGGTGATCCCTCGTTGGACGAGTAAGATGGTCTTCCTTGATGACTATTTTTGTGGGTTTGTAGGTGGCTGTGGAGCCCTATTCTTGACCCGCATCTTCTCCCACAGTGAAGGCATTGGTTTCCAGGTGGAAGGCGGTCCTGGTCGGGGTTGGCTTGACGCGCCTTCCTCCTGGCACGTTTCTCTCTTTCACCCTCCACTTGTGCCTCCTCAAATTCTGCAGCACTGCTGGTCACAGCTGACCTCCAGCTGGAGCGCTCAAGGGCCAGGGCTTCCCAGTTCTCAGTGTCTATGCCAGAGTTTTTAAGGTTGGCTTTGAGCCCATCTTTCAATCTCTTTTCCTGCCCACCAACATTCCACTTTCCATTCTTGAGTTCGGAGTAGAGCAACTGCTTTGGGAGACGGTGGTCAGGCATCCGGACAACGTGGCCGGTCCAGCAGAGTTGATGGCAGAGGACCATCGCTTCAATGCTGGTGGTCTTTGCTTCTTCCAGCACGCTGACGTTTCTCCGCTTGTCGTCCCAAGATCTTCTCCACCTCAGAAGAGGTACTCAGGCCGGTTCACAACATGTGTTCATATACAGTAATATAAAAAACAGCACAGTGCATCATCATTATACATTAAAATATAAAATACAATAAAATACATCATCACATTACACAAGCCAAGTCGTCAAATACAGTCACAATTCATCGCCATCCTTCCATGTGGACAAGGGTTATTGACTCAATCATCGAATGCCATATTCCAAAGCCAGGTTTTTATTAGCTTTCTAAAGGTCAGGAGGGAAGGAGCAGATCTAATCTCTGGTGGGAGGGAATTCCAAAGCTGAGGGGCCACCACCGAGAAGGCCCTGTCCCTCGGTCCCACCAGACGCGGCAAAAGAGGTGGGACCGAGAGCAGGGCCCCTCCAGAAGATCTTAATAACCTTGATGGTTCATAGGGGAGAATCCATTCGGACAGGTAAACTGGGCCGGAGTCGTTTAGGGATTTATAGGTCAACAACCAGCACTTTGAATTGTGCTCGGAAGCTAATTGGCAGCCAGTGGAGCTGGCGTAACAGAGGGGTCGTATGTTCTCTGTACCCCGCTCCTGTTAGTAATCTGGCTGCCGCTCGTTGGACTAATTGAAGCTTCCGGGCAGTTTTCAGAGGCAACCCCATGTAGAGAGCATTGCAGTAGTCTAAATGGGATGTAACCAGAGCGTGGACCACCGTGGCCAAGTCAGACTTCCCAACGTACGGGCGCAGCTGGTGCACAACTTGCTTTACTCGATGTAGCAAAGCTCTGTTCTCAAATAGAGTTATGCAATCATAACTGTTTAGTATTACAATATGTACATGTATGAGGGTTGAATGAAAAGTAATGCCTCCACCTTCATTACTTGGGTTTGGATGGGAATATTTTAATAAATCAAACGCAGAAATAATCCTTGGAATGTGCTCTTTAACTACCACTATTCACTTTTCCACATAATCACCAGACAATTGGATACATTTCTGCCAAAGATGAACAAGTTCAACCCCCTGCCAAGAAGCAGGAAAATTGGGTTGTTGTAGGTTTTTTGGGGCTAAATGGTCATGTTCTAGGGGCATTCTCTCCTGACATTTCACCTGCATCTATGGCAAGCATCCTCAGAGGTAGGTAATGGCGCTCTACTCCGGAAACTTCATTTTTGTGGCTGCCACAACTAAGTTGAATGGTTTGGGACTCAATGATGAGATATTCATTGGAAAACTAGAGCCAAACATGCTGCAGGATGTCTCTCCCACAAAAACATTTTTTTGCAGTTTAATCAACATTTTCCATGTTTTTTTTATGATAGAACCAAGTAGTAAATGACAAAGTAAGTACCCCAATCAGTACTCTGTATGACTTTCCAGGCCTGGGCAAACCAGCTGTTAGGAATTGTGGGAGTTGAAGTCCAAAACACCAAAGTTGGCCCATGTTTGAGCTAAATGTTTGGAAAACATGCTTCCATCTTCTCAGCCTTGTGACTTGGAAAGCACTCAGGTACATCTTGCAAATGGCGGTACATATTCTTGGCTTTCTCTTCTGCTGCAGGCGGCCCTGGGAGCCGGCTTCTCCGACAAGACCCCTGCCCACACGGTCACCATGGCCTGCATCTCCTCAAACCAGGCCATGACCACAGGTAGGATGGCTCTGGCTCACCCGGAATGGCTGCGGAGGGAGGGAGGGGGGGTTCTCCACTGGAGGCTGCTTAAGGGCAACGAGAAGGAGAACGAGGGATCCTCCATTCCTTATGAGAGGAGGGGGTAAGCTGCCCTGGGGGAAAGGGCCATGCCTCCCTCTGATTGTCCCTTGCAGGAGTGGGCCTCATTGCCTCAGGCCAGATGGACGTGGTGGTGGCCGGCGGCGTGGAGCTGATGTCGGACGTCCCCATCAGGCACAGCCGGAAGATGCGGAAGATGATGCTGGGCCTCCCGCGCGCCAAGAGCCTCGGGCAGCGCCTCTCCCTTCTCTCCAGGATCCGCCCCGACTTCTTCGCCCCGGAGGTAAACAGAGAGGGAGCCCCTGTTTCCTAAACCATTTCCTTTTGGGTTAATGGGGTGCATTAGCACCCCAGAATTAATGCAATTTAGCATTAATTTATATTAATAATGCAATTTATATTAATAATGCAATTTAACATTAATTTAACCGGTACGGCTCAATACTATGAAATAGTGGGAGTTGTGCTCTCTACCAAAGAGTGCTGCTGATTCACAAGACTACATTGCGTCATGGCAATTTGAGTTCTTTCCCACCCCTGGGCTCCCTTTGTTTACCTTTCCGTCTCTGAGAACAATGGAGCTGTCTCTGCTTCACATCCTCCCGTCTGTGGAATAAACGCTGGGTTATCGGTAACCCTCTGGTCTTCCCCACATTCCTTTCACAGTCAAAATCTGGGAGATTCTCATGAGAAACATGGTCTACTTCCCTGACAACAAATCTATCCAAAACATCTCTAAAAACACATGCGCTTTCCCCTGCAGAAGTAACAGGCTCACACAAAAAATTCCTCGACCTCATCCGCGGAGGCTTCAGAGGTGTCAACAGAACTGACCCTCACTGTGTCCTTTCTTCCTCTCCCAGCTTCCTGCGGTGGCCGAGTTCTCCACCAGTGAGACCATGGGCCATTCAGCTGACCGCCTGGCTGCGGCCTTTGCCATCTCGCGCACGGAGCAGGATGAGTATGCCTTCCGGTCCCACAGCTTGGCCAAGAAGGCCCAGGACGAGGGCCTCCTCACCGACTTGGTCCCCTTCAAGGTGCCAGGTAAGTGGCTGCGCAAGGAGGGCCGTCCGCAGGGACACTTTTCCCCTCTGGGTGACACTCGGTCAAGCCCATTAAAGTATTGGAGGGCAAGTCTTGTGTAACAGTTTAGAGTGTCACACAGAGCAAACCTACCCCAGAAGGATACAGTGGTAATGGTCATGGAAGCCTCTGAGATGTCCAAGAGAACCATCAGGGACACACTCCCCATCTAGCTCTCTGTGGAGGTCATCCACCAAGGCAACCAAGCAGTGCAATGATATAATTTAATTAGAATATGTGCAATGATTACGGAACAGCCTCAGACTATTACTTTTGGATGGCGTGATTTTAATAGTGATGTTATGTGCACTCGTTTATTTATTTATCTATTTACAGTATTTATATTCCTCCCTTCCTCCCTTCTCACCCCCAGGGGACTCAGGGCAGATTACAATGCACATACACATGACAAACATTCAATGCCATTAGACATACCACATATATAGACATCCTGTGATTATTCTGCATGTTTCATTCAATGAGAGTTTATCAACAGGTGTAGGTTTAAGACATCCTGTGATTATTCTGCATGTTTCATTCAATGAGAGTTTATCAACAGGTGTAGGTTTAAGACATCCTGTGATTATTCTGCGTGTTTCATTCAATGAGAGTCTATCAACAGGTGTAGGTTTAAGACATCCTGTGATTATTCTGCATGTTTCATTCAATGAGAGTTTATCAACAGGTGTAGGTTTAAGACATCCTGTGATTATTCTGCATGTTTCATTCAATGAGAGTTTATCAACAGGTGTAGGTTTAAGACATCCAGTGATTATTCTGCATGTTTCATTCAATGAGAGTTTATCAACAGGTGTAGGTTTAAGACATCCTGTGATTATTCTGCATGTTTCATTCAATGAGAGTTTATCAACAGGTGTAGGTTTAAGACATCCTGTGATTATTCTGCATGTTTCATTCAATGAGAGTTTATCAACAGGTGTAGGTTTAAGACATCCTGTGATTATTCTGCATGTTTCATTCAATGAGAGTCTATCAACAGGTGTAGGTTTAAGACATCCTGTGATTATTCTGCATGTTTCATTCAATGAGAGTTTATCAACAGGTGTAGGTTTAAGACATCCTGTGATTATTCTGCATGTTTCATTCAATGAGAGTCTATCAACAGGTGTAGGTTTAAGACATCCTGTGATTATTCTGCGTGTTTCATTCAATGAGAGTTTATCAACAGGTGTAGGTTTAAGACATCCTGTGATTATTCTGCATGTTTCATTCAATGAGAGTTTATCAACAGGTGTAGGTTTAAGACATCCTGTGATTATTCTGCATGTTTCATTCAATGAGAGTTTATCAACAGGTGTAGGTTTAAGACATCCTGTGATTATTCTGCATGTTTCATTCAATGAGAGTTTATCAACAGGTGTAGGTTTAAGACATCCTGTGATTATTCTGCATGTTTCATTCAATGAGAGTCTATCAACAGGTGTAGGTTTAAGACATCCTGTGATTATTCTGCATGTTTCATTCAATGAGAGTTTATCAACAGGTGTAGGTTTAAGACATCCTGTGATTATTCTGCATGTTTCATTCAATGAGAGTCTATCAACAGGTGTAGGTTTAAGACATCCTGTGATTATTCTGCGTGTTTCATTCAATGAGAGTCTATCAACAGGTGTAGGTTTAAGACATCCTGTGATTATTCTGCATGTTTCATTCAATGAGAGTTTATCAACAGGTGTAGGTTTAAGACATCCTGTGATTATTCTGCGTGTTTCATTCAATGAGAGTTTATCAACAGGTGTAGGTTTAAGACATCCTGTGATTATTCTGCATGTTTCATTCAATGAGAGTTTATCAACAGGTGTAGGTTTAAGACATCCTGTGATTATTCTGCATGTTTCATTCAATGAGAGTTTATCAACAGGTGTAGGTTTAAGACATCCTGTGATTATTCTGCATGTTTCATTCAATGAGAGTTTATCAACAGGTGTAGGTTTAAGACATCCTGTGATTATTCTGCGTGTTTCATTCAATGAGAGTTTATCAACAGGTGTAGGTTTAAGACATCCTGTGATTATTCTGCATGTTTCATTCAATGAGAGTTTATCAACAGGTGTAGGTTTAAGACATCCTGTGATTATTCTGCATGTTTCATTCAATGAGAGTCTATCAACAGGTGTAGGTTTAAGACATCCTGTGATTATTCTGCGTGTTTCATTCAATGAGAGTCTATCAAGAGATGTAGGTTTAAGACATCCTGTGATTATTCTGCGTGTTTCATTCAATGAGAGTCTATCAACAGGTGTAGGTTTAAGACATCCTGTGATTATTCTGCATGTTTCATTCAATGAGAGTTTATCAACAGGTGTAGGTTTAAGACATCCTGTGATTATTCTGCATGTTTCATTCAATGAGAGTTTATCAACAGGTGTAGGTTTAAGACATCCTGTGATTATTCTGCGTGTTTCATTCAATGAGAGTCTATCAACAGGTGTAGGTTTAAGACATCCTGTGATTATTCTGCGTGTTTCATTCAATGAGAGTCTATCAACAGGTGTAGGTTTAAGACATCCTGTGATTATTCTGCATGTTTCATTCAATGGTAAAAACAGTACTGATTGTTTTACAACTTGTTATTGAGTTAAAACTTGTTGAGGCTCCATCAGTTCTTAACATCAGGGGCCATTGTTTCTGACTTAAATAATCCTTGTCTCTAACGATGTAAACATGTGCTGTTTACACCAAAAGTTTCCCGGCCAATTATTGTCAGTTCAGTTGTTTTCATGCCACAGTCAATCTTCACTTCCTCCATAATGTCATTTTAGTCTTCTTGGGATGGTCTCTTCAGTCTTTCCAGGCCTTCATAGGCCCTTATCCAGACCCCAATCAGACCTCCACTCATGAGATTATGATGGTGACGAATTTTCCTGAGGGGGGTTGGATGGGTTATTTATTCATTTATTTATTTAAAACATGTATATTCTGCCCTTCTCACCCTGAAGGGGACTCAGGGCAGAGCAAAGCATATATACGGCAAATATTCAATGCCAGGACACAAATTCTTATACACATACATAGACATTAAAAACATTTATCAAAATATTAAAATACGCCATTCAAACTGTCCTAGTCATCAGCGTCAAATCTAACTGGCTTGGTCATCTTTCTTATCACTGCTTTATTGCCCTGTCCCGAAAGCTTGGTCCCACAGCCAAGTTTTGACCCTCCTTCTGAAGGACAGGAGGGAGGGGGCCGGCCTGATCTCCCCAGGAAGGGAGTTGCCTAGCCGGGGGCAATCACCGAGAAGGCCCTGTCTCTCGTCACCACCAATCGTGCCTGTGACAATGGCGGGACGGAAAGCAGGGCCTCCCCGGAGGATCTTAATCTCTGCGATGGTTAATAGGGGGAGATGCATTCGGACCGGTAATGTGGGCCGGGCCGTTTAGGGCTTTATAAGCCAAAGCCAGCACTTTGATTTGTGCCCGGTAGCAAACTGGCAGCCAGTTGAGCTGGCGTAACATGCGAGTTGTATGCTCCCTGTATGCCGCCCCAGTTATTAACCTGGCTGCCTCTCGTTGGACTATTTGAAGCTTCCGAGCAGTCTTCAAAGGCAACCCCATGTAGTGCGTGTTGCAGTAGTCTATCCTAGATGTAATGAGAGCATGGACCACTGTGGCCAAGTCTGACTTCCCAAGGTACAGGCGCAGCTGGCACACAAGTTTTAATTGTACGAGAGCTCCCCTGGCCACCACTGCAAGCTGGGATTCTAGTCTCAGTGATGAGTCCAGGAGGACCCCCAAGCTGCAAACCAGTGCCTTCAAGGGGAGTGTGACCCCATCCAGCACAGGCTGTGACCCTATACCCTGTTCGGCCTTGCGACTGACCAGGAGGACCTCTGTCTTGTCTGGATTCAACTTCAGTTTGCTACTGGGATGGTTACCATTGGCCATGCTGTGGAGAGGCAGAGCGGGCAAAACAGTATTATGGAGAATAAGGAGGAGGGCTTCTTCCATGCAGAGCAGAGCCTCAATGGTCAGTGGCCGTAGAGACATGGAGGTCAGAGACCCCTCCTGACTTGGAGTGAGCCATCTTCACTCACAGGCCTCTCTCTCTCTCCTTTCTTGCAGGCAGAGACACGGTTATGAAGGATAACGGTGTTCGCCCTTCTTCAGTGGAGCAGATGGGGAAGCTGAAGGCCGCTTTCGTCAAACCTTATGGGACCGTCACAGCTGCCAACTCCTCTTTCCTGGTAAGGCCCACTTTGTTGGGAATCAGCCTGTGTTTGTGTTTCACGATGCTCAGGATCATGATGCTCTTGATGTGGGGCATGATGAGGGAAATGATGGTGCTGAGGCTGAGGTGCAAGATGGAGATGGTTTGGTCAATGATTTTCATGCAGACAATGACAGAGAGGCCCCAGTGCAAAGGGCAGTTTCTCATGAGAATATTCCTGCTGGGCTTAAGGATGATGGTTTACTCCCTCTTTCTGTGAGCTCTCAAGATTTGGGTTTGGAAAACAATCTGACACCTGGAAATTTTAATGAGCAGCCAGATAGGGAGTTGAAGGATAGGTGTCTGGAGATCAGCCAGAATCGAAAGCAAACTCAGTGTTTACGTCGCTCCAAAAGGCTTCGTCAGATAAGGGGCAAATGTGGGGGAAAATGAGTTTGTTGGAATGCTATAAAGTAGGAAAAAAAGTGATTCCTGGAAAAGTTAAATATGTTGGCATAATGCTAATGAAACATTTGATTATGATTTTGGACATCTTTCATAGAATCATAGAATCAATCCAAAGCAGTATTTCTCCTTCAATTTACACAAATTGAGTTTTTGCAGTTGTCCATGCCTGTGTATGTAAAATAGTCAGAAAGCTCTAGTCATAAGAGAGTACTTTGTTGCCTGCTCCCATTCTTGTTTTTTTATTGATGTAATATCAAGATGTATTTGGACATACTCTGAAACCATCTTGATCATGAAGATATATTTCTTGCCTTGTAAAGAATTCCCAAAAAAAATACATTGGCATTTTATTTATTTTTGCATATGAATGGGGGGGAGTAGCTGATGGCACTATTGCTGTTAGCTAGATGGAAACAGTTCTAGTTAGGAATAGTTTGCATGGATTTTCCTTTGAAAGTGCCTTAAACTCGAGTGAATGGTAAAATATGTTATACTTACTTTGTACAAGTTGCCATCTACATACAGATCCAGACATATTTCATTATTTCTGAACGTATATTTTCTGATTTTATATGAGATTGTGTCAAATAATTAATAAAGACTTTACCATAAATTAAAAAAAAAGAAAGAAAGGCTTCGTCAGATAAGAGGCAAGAGTGGGGGAAAACGAAAACAATTTTTGGGCTTTGGGATATAAGGTTTGCTTCAAGGGAAAGCCTGTTAGATCAGGCATCATTTGGAAATCATGTTCATGTGCCATGGAAATCCTGTTCAAGGGGTCTTGTTCTTATAGAGATTTTTACCATTTTGCTGTGGTCTAGCACCTTCTGGATTATCTTTGCAACCTGTTGATTCCTGTTTGGATAAATACTGCCTTGGATTGTTTTTATATCTTTTGTGGACATTGTTTTACTACATTTTGAAATTTTCCTATGTTTACAAGCATTTTTTTCTACTGGCTATTTTACTCAGCTTCAATAAAAAGGATTGGTTTTTCACTCAATGTGTGGTATGTTTTAAAGTCAGATGGTATCGTTTCTGTTCTGAAGTGCAACACACTTTTCCTGTTGGAACAAGGAAATGTTGTGGCTCCTGAACTGTCCCAGTGTCACTGTTGCTCAGGAACCGTGGCTAGAACCCTGAATCTTCCATATGAGCATTTCTGTATGATGTATTGTCGAAGGTTTTCATGCCTGGAATCACTGGGTTGTTGTAGGTTTTTTCGGGCTATATGGCCATGGTCCAGAGGCATTCTCTCCTGACGTTTCGCCTGCATCTATGGCAAGCATCCTCAGGTAGTGAGGTGCTTGCCATAGATGCAGGCGAAACGTCAGGAGAGCATGCCTCTAGACCATGGCCATATAGCCCAAAAAAACCTACAGCAACCCATTTCAGTATGACTTCATCCAGAAATGGCAAAGTACCGCCTGACGTGGCACGGTTGAGCCTCAGGACACGGACTTAACACACAAATTAGATCTGTTTCGCTGGGATGTTTTGGGCCTTTTGCTTCCATGCGACATCCACTCTCTGATGCCGTTATTTATGTATTTATTTATTTAGAATATTTGTATCCCGTCCTATTCTCGATCTCCGAAGAGGGACTCAGGGCGGCTTCCAACAATATTAAAAACACCAATAAAATACACAATTACATAAAATAACAATAAATATACATTTAAAAACGATTCAGATCAGTCCAAAAATGCGGTCCACAAAATCTTCGCCAATAAAACCGTCGATTCTGCGAACGCTTGCTCCCACAGCCAAGTTTTAAGTGTCTTGCGAAAAGTCAGGAGGGAGGTGGCGGATCTATCTTCTTTTAGGGAGGGAGTTCCGCAGTCGAGGGGCCACCACGGAGAAGGCCCCGTCTCTTGTCCCCACCAAATGTGACTGCAATGGTGGTGGGACCGAGAGCAGGGCCTCCCCAGATGATCTTAAAGTCCTTGATGGTTCATAGGGGCTTTGGAAGTGGGGTCCGATCTCACCCCTTCCTGATGGACTCTGCTGGGCTGTCTTTTTCAGACGGACGGTGCCTCGGCGGTCCTCCTGATGTCCGAAGAGAAGGCTTTGGCCATGGGCTACAAACCAAAGGCCTACCTCAGGTGAGCACGGCAGTCATAAAACTTCTCTTCTTACGGAAATGACTCTGTCAGTTAAGTTCCAGTTCTAGTTAAGGACTTACTTATGAGGCGATCCCTCGTAGTCCGAGTAAGATTGTCCTCCAAGTGTGGTGTCCTGGGGGTGGGTCCGTAGGTGACTGTGGAGCCCTATTCTTGACCTGCATCTTCTCCCTCAGTGAGGGCATCGGTTTCCAGGTGGAAGGCGGTCCCGGTCGGGGTTGATTTTCCTTCTGAAAGACAAGAGGGAGGTGGCCAATCTGATATCTCTAGGGAGAACATTCCATAGGCGGGGGGCCACTGCTGAGAAGGCCCTGTCTCTTGTCTCCATCAACTGCGTTTGCGATAGTGGTGGGATTGAGAGCAGGGCCTCTCCTGAAGATCTTAAACTTCGCGATGGTTCGTGGCAGGAGATACGTTTGGACAGGTAGTCTGGGCCAGAACCGTTCAGGGCTTTAAAGGTTAAAACCAGCACTTTGAATTGTGCCCAGAAGCTGATCAGTAGCCAGTGGAGTTGGCGTAACAAAGGAGTTGTATGTTCCCTGTACGTCGCTCCAGTGAGCAACCTGGCTGCCGACCGTTGTACTAGTTGAAGCTTCCAGGCAGTCTTCAAAGGCAGCCCCACGTAGAGTGTGTTGCAGTAGTCTATTCAGGATGTAACAAGAGCATGGACCACTGTAGCCAAGTCAGACTTCTCAAGGAATGGGCGCAGCTGGCGCACAAGTTTTAATTTATTGTCGAAGGCTTTCATGGCCGGAATCACTGGGTTGTTGTAGGTTTTTTCGGGCTATATGGCCATGTTCTAGAGGCATTTCTCCTGACGTTTTGCCTGCATCTATGGCAAGCATCCTCAGAGGTAGTGAGGTGTTTTTGGAACTAGGAAAAAGGGTTTATATATCTGTGGAATGACCAGGGTGAGACAAAGGACTCTTGTCTGCTGGAGCTAGGTGTGAATGTTCAACTGACCACCTTGATTAGCATTTGATGGCCTGGCAGTGCCTGGAGCAATCTTTTGTTGAGAGGTGATTAGATGTCCTTGTTTGTTTCTCTCTGTTGTTTTGCTGTTGTAATTTTAGAGTTTTTTTAATACTAGTAGCCAGATTTTGTTCCTTTTCATGGTTTCCTCCTTTCTGTTGAAATTGTCCACATGCTTGTGGATTTCAGTGGCTTCTCTGTGTATCCTGACATGTTAGTTGTTAGAGTGATCTACCATTCCTGTGTTCTCAAATAATATGCTGTGTCCAGCTGGTCATTCCACAGATATAAACCCTTTTTCCTAGTTCCAACAGACCTCACTACATCCTGAGGATGCTTGCCATAGATGCAGGCGAAACGTCAGGAGAATGCCTCTAGAACATGGCCATATAGCCCAAAAAAACCCACAAGAACTGAGTTAACAGTAATTATAAGTATTTCTAATTCGGGGGAGGGGGGGGGACCATTTACATTGTTTGCCAAAACACAGTATGTCACAGCAAATGCGATCTATATGCTGGATTTCGTATCGCAAAATCCCGTCAAACACTTCCCAAGAGTTTAGTGCTGTGTGATGTATTTTTGATTGATGCATACAGATCCAAGTCAGGTGGCCTTTTGCAATTGACAATTTTGTCCATGTTTATTGTTTCCAAATGCCGGCTGAGATCTTTTGGCATGGCACTCAGTGTGCCAGTGACCACCTGTACTCATTTTTGCCAGAGCCTTTGCATTTCGATTTTGAGGTCTTCACAACGACTGAAAAAAAAACCTACAACAACCCAAGTTTTAATTGTGCAAAAGCTCTCCCGGCCACCGTCGAGTCCTGGGGTTCCAGGCTTAGCAGTGAGTCCAGGATCACTCCCAAACTGTGAAAGCTTAAGCGGCTGAGGGGGAAAATGAAAGGGCCTGAGGCTGTTAGGAATGGTGGGAGTTGGAGTCCAAAACACCTAAAAGTTGGCCCATGCCTGCTATATCCTGTTCCCATTGCATGATCCACCACACAGTGGCTTAACTCTTATACAGGTGGTTACACCAGAGGTATTAACTCTGCTGTCACATAATAATAATAATAATAATAATAATAATAATAATAATAATAATACTTTATTTATACCCCGCCACCATCTCTCCAAGGGGACTCGGGATGGCTTACATGAGGCCAAGCCCAACAATACATCAGCAAAAACAAAACAGCAAGCAAATAAAACAGTACAATTAATATAGCTTGTATATAAGCAATAACACAGAGAATTTAAAACCAGGTAATTTCCAAATCCTGAGGAGCACAACATGGGAAGGCGTCGCCTGCCTTGCCTGTGTGCCTCAGACTCCCTCGGCTTACCTCTCTCTTTCTCCCTCTCTCCTCTCGTTCAGGGATTTCGTCTACGTCTCCCAGGACCCAAAGGACCAGCTGCTACTTGGGTAAGTGAGAGGCGTCAATTCCGAGCGGTTTTCCTGGCTCGGGCCTTCCTTCCAAGCCCTGCCTGCATCAAGGAGGGACTCAAGCCCAGCGCAGCTTCAGAATCCGAGAAGACTGGCCGTGTCGCTCAGGGTGGCGTTGTATTAGCTCTGGTTACATCCCGTATAGACTACTGCAACGTGCTCTACGTGGGGTTGCCTTTGAAGACTGTTTGGAAGCTTCAATTAGTCCAGCGGATGGCAGCCAGATTACTCAGGAGTGGCACTCAGGGAGCATACAACTCCTCTGTTGCACCAGCTCCACTGGCTGCCAGTTTGCTACCGAGCACAATTCAAAGTGCTGGCTTTAGCATATAAAGCCCTAACCAGTGGTTCTCAACCTGGGGTCCCCAGATGTTTTTGGCCTTCAACTCCCAGAAATCCTAACAGCTGGTAAACTGGCCGGGATTTCTGGGAGTTGTAGGTCAAAAACATCTGGGGACCCCAGGTTGAGAACCACTGCGCTAAACGGTTCTGGCCCAACTCCTCTTATGAACCATCTAGGACGTTAAGATCGTCTGGGGAGGCTCTGCTCTCGTCTCCATCTGCGTCACAAATACGCTTGGCAAGGATGAGAGACAGGGCCTCTTCAGTGGTGGCCCCTCAGCTATGGAACGCCCTTCCTAGGGACATTTGACTGGCTCCCTCCCTTTTGGTTTTCCGAAGAAAAGTCAAAACCTGGCTGTTCGAGCAGGCGTTTGAAAAGGCAGTGTAACAGACATTGGATTATGGAGCAATTGGATTATGAGTTTGGATGACGTTTTTACTATTGTTATGGTTTCCACTAATATGTTATCACTTTTAAATGTTTTAAATGTTTTTACGATGTTGTTGGCATTGAATTGTTGCCTTGTAAACTGCCCCTATGGAGCCTCCGGTGGCGCAGTGGGTTAAAGCACTGAGCTGCTGAGCATGTTGATCAAAAGGTCGCAGGTTCAATTCCGGGGAGCGGCGTGAGCTTCCGCTGTCAGCCCTAGCTTCTGCCAACCTAGCAGTTCGAAAACATGCAAATGTCAGTAGATCAATAGGTACTGCTCCGGCGGAAAGGTAACAGTGCTCCATGCAGTCATGCCGGCCACACGACCTTGGAGGTGTCTACGGACAACGCCGGCTCTTCGGCTTAAAAATGGAGATGAGCACCACACCCCAGAGTCAGACACAACTGGACTTAATGTCAGGGGAAAACCTTTACCTTTACCTAAACCGCCCCAAGTTGCCTGCGGGCTGAGAGGGGCAGTATACAAATGTAGCAAATTTATTTATTTATAATAATAATAATAATAATAATAATAATAATCCTTTATTTATACCCCGCTAACATCTCCCAAAGGACTCGGTGCGGCTTACAAAAGGCCGAGGCCCAACACATCAATAAAACAACAGCACAACAAATACACAATAAATAAACTCATAAAACAAGCAATAAACATTAAAACAATAGCAATAAATATTAGACAATAACACCACGACACATTTATTTATTTACTATATTTGTATACCGCTTTTCTCAGCCCTCGGGCGACGCAAAGCGATCAACAATAGCAAAATTCAATGCTCAGAATAACATAAAACAGTTAAAAACAATTAAAACAGTAGCGTATTGAAACAATCCATTATACATCAATAAACATCTCGTTAGCGTCTCATAATTAGAATCAGGATCCAGTTTCATCATCCAGTTGTTCCATATTCCTATATTCTTTGCACTGCCTATTCAAATGCCTGCTCGAACAACCAGGTCTTCACTTTCCTCCGGAATGATAACAAGGAGGGGGCCGATCTAATATCTGTTGGATATTAGATATAATAAATAAATAAATAAATAAATATTACTAATAATATTACGACATGCCAATAATATAATATATTTATTTATTTATTTTTCTTCTACCCCGCCCTTCTCACCCCGAAGGGGACTCAGGGCGGCTTACAAAGGCACAATTCGATGCCAGCATCACATAACAGTAGTAAAAAACAAATTAACATCAATTAAACAGTTGAACAGTTAAACAACAATTCCTGCATTACAACCCTAAAACCAATAAAACCAGTAAAACCAATACAAACCCAATTACTCCTCATAGACGGTCAGCGTTCGCTATCTCATGGTCCAAATTCCATTTCCACATTGTCAGTCCTGTCAGTCCTAGTCGTCTGATTGTCCTTATCTAGCTGTCAGATTGACCAAAGGCCTGGTCCCACAACCACGTCTTTACTTTCCTCCTGAAGGAGAGGAGGGATGTTGATGCCCTAATTTCCCCCGGGAGTGAGTTCCACAGGTGAGGGGCCACCACCGAGAAGGCCCTGCTCCTCATCCCCACTAACCTCACTTCTGATAGCAGTGGGGTCGAGAGCAGGGCCTCCCCAGATGATCTCAAATTCCAGGGTGGGATGTAGAGGGAGATACGTTCGGACAGATACACTGGACCGGAACCGTAAAGGGTTTTGTAGGTCAAAAGCAGCTCCTTGAATTGTGCTCGGAACTGAACCGGCAGCCAGTGGAGCTGACACAGCAGGGGGTTGGTGTGCTCCCTGTATGACGCTCCAGTGAGTAATCTGGCTGCCGCTCGCTGGACCAGTTGAAGTTTCTGAACAGTCTTCAAGGGCAACCCCACATAGAGTGCGTTACAGTAGTCTATTCAGGATGTAACAAGAGCGTGGACCACTGTGGCCAGATCAGACTTCCCAAGGTACGGGTGCATACAATATATACATACAATAATACTATTGTATGTATATATATCTTGTGAGCCGCTGTGTGTCCCCTTCGGGGTGAGAAGGGTGGCGTAGAAATGCCATTAGTTAAATGGGAGGAGGTCCCCTGAAGAAAGCATCTTTGAGAGGGACCTCTTCCTTCCTCGTTCATGCTTCCTGTCCCTTGTCAGGAGTTCTATTCACTCATAAAATTCCCTTTTAGAGCAGAAGGGAGACTGTTCATTCCAGTTAAGGAGCTAGGCCAGATACCTTCAGGTAGTTGGTAATGGTGGAAGCATGCTTGGTTGTTTTCTTTCTGAGCAAAGCCCTGAATGTTGGACTTTCCCCTCCTCCCCTCCCTCAGGCCCACCTACGCCACTCCCAAAGTGCTGCAGCGGGCCGGCCTCACTATGGCCGACATCGACGTCTTCGAGTTTCATGAAGCCTTTGCGGTAAGTGCTTCCAAAGACAGGCACCCAAAACTTTTGGAGAAATTGTGATCTTTGGAAAGGCATGATATAAAAAGGTCGAGAGCTTAATTTTTGGAATAATAAAAATCCCAAACAGCAGCAGAACACCACTTAAAGCCTTTCTAGGATTAAAAGACCCAAAAGCAAAAAGCTGTAAAGAAAGCTGGAACTTTCTTCTGGACGAAAACCCCTTTTTGAAAGCCCTCTCGCACCCACCATCTTAGAAATACTGATAAGCCCTTGGCTTGCTGGAAGTATTCTTCGGCAAAAGTGTGTTGGATTTAGCCCTAAGGCTTGTGCTTCTGAGGTAACACTAAAAATTGTTTTTTAAAATATACACTGCCACCATTAAGCTCTTGATTACTGCAGGAATCTGCTTCTAAAACTTCACCCACGGAGGCACACGTGAGGCAGTTGTTGTGAACAACAAAACAATGATGTTTATTTAAGAGAACAGGAACAATTCAGGTATAAAGCTTAGCTGTTTCAGAGTATTGACTTAAAAAGTGTGTGGTTACATAAAGCAGTTCAGGCTTAGTTATGCAGAAATACTTCTCTCTCCCTCCACAGAAATACTGGCAGGATTGCTCTCTGAAAGTAATTCTAAACACCAGCACAGATAGTCCTATCCTGGATCTATCTCTTCCCCCTTCTACCAGCTATTTCCCTAATAGCTGTACAATTCTTTCCACTAGCTAACTCTGCTAGCCAACAGACCAATCTCAGGCCTCTTCTCACTAACCCTCTACACCACTCCAAACTCCTAACACCTTCTCCCTTTGACACCAAGGTTCAATCTCCTTGACAGGGTTTCAAAACCTTCCCATAAATACATTTTTTTTTTGTTTTGCCAAGTTAGACTCCATCCACTCTAACTCAGCCAATCACCGTCCTCCCTCATTTCCCTCCAAAGCTGCTCTTTCTAACCACGCCCCCTTCAGGAAATGAGTAACTAAAATGAATTCCAAAATGGCTGCCGAACTTCTTTGGCCTACTTTTTCCTAGGCTTTTCCTAGCCTAACAGATAGGGAATTCACTACACATGACCTTATTAGAAAGGGCCTTCTCGGCTGTGGCCCCCCGGCTATGGAATGCACTCCCAAATGAAATAAGATCGACTCCATCCCTCCTGGCTTTCAGAAAAAATAAGTTGTGCTTTTAGGATCAGCCCTTCGGGCAGCAGACGTAATTTGCACCTTAGTGGACATTGACTGGAGTGGCGTTGCGGCAGATAACATTGTGATTTTTGTTTTATTGTTTTAATTAATGCTATATGTACTGGTTTTAATGTTTTGTATTTTATTGTGTTTATATTATTGTAATTGTGATGTAGCGGCCTTGCACCGTTACTAATGTAGGCCGTCCTGAGTCCCCCTTCAGGAGAAAAGATGGCAGCACTGCTGGTCACAGCTGACCTCCAGCTGGAGCACTCAAGGACCAGGGCTTCCCAGTTCTCAGTGTCTATACAAGAGATTTTAAGGTTGGCTTTGAGACCATCTTTAAATCTCTTTTCCTGTCCACCAACATTCCGTTTTCCATTCTTGAGTTCAGAGTAGAGCAAGTGTTTTGGGAGACGGTGGTCAGGTATCCGCACAACGTGGCTGGTCCAGCGGAGTTGTTGGCGGAGGACCATTGCTTCAATGCTGGTGGTCTTTGCTTCTTCCAGCACGATGACATTTGTCCGCCTGTCTTCCCAAGAGATTTGCAGGATTTTCCGGAGGCAGCGCTGATGGAATCGTTCCAGGAGTTGCATGTGACATCTGTAGACAGTCCACATTTCGCAGGCATATAGCAGGGTTGGGAGGGAAATGGTTTTGTAAACAAGCCCTTTGGTCTCCCTACGGATGTCCCGGTCCTCAAACACTCTCTGCTCCATTCGGATAAATGCTGCACTTGCAGAGCTCAGGCGGTGTTGAATTTCAGTGTCAATGTTTACTTTGGTGGAGAGGTGGCTGCCAAGGGAGCGGAAAGGGTCCACATTTTCTAATGTTACACCATGAAGTTGTATCCCTGGCATTGGAGAGGGATTGGCCGGTGACTGCTGGAACAGCACTTTGGTTTTCTCGATGTTGAATGAGAGGCCATGCTTCAAGTATGCTTCTGCAAAGGTGTTTAGAGTGGCTTGTAGATCTTCTTCTGAATGTGCACAGACGACGTTGTCATCAGCATACTGGAGTTCTATAACAGATGTTGTTGTAACCTTGGTTTTGGCTTTCAGTCTACTGAGGTTGAATAGCTTGCCATCTGACCGATAGATGATTTCCACTCCGGTGGGAAGCTTCCCATCAACAAGGTGAAGTATCATAGCGATGAAGATGGAGAATAAAGTTGGGGCAATAATAACACATCCCTGTTTGACACCCGATTCCACCTTAAATGGGTCACTTTGGGAGCCATTGCTGTCCAAGACTGTTGCCATCATGTCATCATGGAGGAGCCGCAGGATGTTCACAAATTTGTTAGGGCACCCGATTTTGTGGAGGATGGTCCAGAGAGCGCTGCGATTCACTGTGTCAAATGCCTTGGCAAGGTCGATGAATGCCATGTACAGAGGTTGGTTTTGTTCCCTGCATTTTTCTTGGAGCTGTTGTGCAGTGAAGATCATGTCCACGGTTCCTCTGGAGGGGCGGAAGCCGTTCTGGGATTCTGGGAGGGTGTCTTCTGAGAGGGGCAGAAGGCGGTTTGCAAGGATTCTTGCGAGGATTTTCCCAGCGGAGGTTAGAAGGGAGATACCTCGATAGTTTCCGCAGTCTGTTCTTTCCCCTTTTTTGAAGAGGGTGATGATGGTGGCATCCTTGAAATCTGCTGGGATTTTCGCGATCACCCACACTTTTTCTATGAGCTGGTGGAGTTGTTGTTTCAGCTCAGGTCCTCCCTCTTTAAGGATTTCAGCAGGGATCCCATCAGGTCCGCTGGCTTTGTTATTTGTTATTGTCGTTGTTGTTGATTGATGGCATTGCTGACTTCTTCCAAAGTAGGCAGTGCTGCAAGCTCATCCCTGGTTTGTTGTTGCGGGATCTGTGGTCATTAAAGTAACCAAGGAGGCATCCCACACAGGTGTTCTAGTGGCCTGACGCGGCTATTAAAGTAGCTGTGCGGTGAGGCTGCGAGGGCCATATTCTCTCCTTGGAGGCTGCTGGGGGTCAACTGGAATTAGGGTGTGGCCACAGGTCTCCTTGTGTCTAAGCCCAGGGCTGAGCTGGCAGCAAAGCTGGATGGCAAATACTCAGGCCCCAGGGTCTCTTCTGTAGCAGGGCCCAACAAAGCATCTCTTGAGCATTGTGTCAACCCTCTTCGCCCATTGCATCCTTCCTCGTGTCCTTTCAGTCCATAATTCATAGAATCATAGAATCAAAGAGTTGGAAGAGACCTCATGGGCCATCCAGTCCAACCCCCTGCCAAGAAGCATATTGACACCAATTCTGGACACCGCAATTCAGGAGAGATATTGACAAGCTGGAATGTGTCCAGAGGAGGGCGACTAAAATGATCAAGGGTCTGGAGAACAAGCCCTATGAGGAGCGGCTTAAGGAGCTGGGCATGTTTAGCCTGAAGAAGAGAAGGCTGAGAGGAGATATGATAGCCATGTATAAATATGTGAGAGGAGGCCACAGGGAGGAGGGAGCAAGCTTGTTTTCTGCTTCCTGGAGACTAGGACGCGGAACAATGGCTTCAAACTACAAGAGAGGAGATTCCATCTGAACATGAGGAAGAACTTCCTGACTGTGAGAGCCGTTCACAGTGAAACTCTCTGCCCCGGAATGTGGTGGAGGCTCCTTCTTTGGAGGCTTTTAAACAGAGGCTGGATGGCCATCTGTCAGGGGTGCTTTGAATGCAACATTCCTGCTTCTTGGCAGGGGGTTGGACTGGATGGCCCATGAGGTCTCTTCCAACTCTTAGATTCTATGATTCTATGACTCAGGATATTGCATTCAAATCACCCCTGACAAATGGCCATCCAGCCTCTGCTTAAAAGCTTCCAAAGAAGGAGCCTCCACCACACTCTGGGGCAGAGAGTTCCACTGCTGAACGGCTCTCACAGTCAGGAAGTTCTTCCTAATGTTCAGATGGAAACATTCGACTTTTACAACTTTCTTTTTCCCTTTTTAAAGGGCCAAATCCTAGCAAATATGAAGGCGATGGATTCGGACTGGTTTGCTCAGAACTACATGGGCAGGAAGACAAAGGTAAGGCTGGGCAAAGGTTGGCTGCTCCTCATCTCAATCATAATATGATGCACAAAGCAACAGGAACAATCCTACTCTATTGTTTATTATCCTTCTGCCTTTAGATCACGCCTGGGCCGGCTTGGGCCCTCCCTCCAGGTGTTTTGGACTGCCACTCCCACAATTCCTAACAGCCTACCGGCTGTTAGGAATTGTGGGAGTGGCAGTCCAAAACACCTGGAGGGTCCAAGTTTGCCCAGGCGTGATTTAGACAGAGCTTGTTGTTGTTTATTTGTTCACTTGCTTCTGACTCTTCGTGACCTCCTGGACCAGCCCACACCAGAGCTCCCTGTTGACCGTCACTACCCCCAGCTCCTTAGTCAAGTCAGTCACTTCAAGGATACCATCCATCCATCCATCTTGCCCTTGGTCTGCCCCTCTTCCTTTTTCCTTCCATTTCCCCCAGCAGCATTGTCTTCTCTAAGCTTTCCTGACTTCTCATTATGTGGCCAGACAGAGCACAAACCTTTTAATAGGTAATGTATTGTCGAAGGCTTTCACGGCTGGGATCACTAGGTTCTTGTGGGTTTTTTCAGGCTATATGGCCATGTTCTAGAGGCATTTTCTCCTGACGTTTCGCCTGCATCTATGGCAAGCATCCTCAGAGGTAGTGAGGTCTGTTTGGAAGTAGGAAAATGGGTTTATATATCTGTGGAATGACCAGGGTGGGACAAAAACTCTTGTCTGCTGAGCTAGGGTGAATGTTTCAACCGACCACCTTAGTTATTATTATTTATTATTATTTTATTTATTTCAAAGTTTTCTATACCGAGCTTCTCACCTCTTAGAGGGACTCAGCCCGGTTTACAACCATAAAAACATACATAGTTAGCATTTGATGGCTTGGCAGTGCCTGGGGGAATCTTTTGTTGAGAGGTAATTACATGTGCCTGATTGTTTACTCTCTGTTCGTTTTGCTGTTGTCATTTGTTTTGCATGTTGTCCAGCTGTGGATGATCATTACTGAAGATGTTAAACAATGTCTCTCAGTATTCTTCCCAATGCTGCCTTCCTCTCGTCCTCGCATATTTGCAGGTGGAGTAGGGTAGCTTCCTCAAAGCACGACTCACACTTCCCCCTGTTTTCCCGCTTGTAGGTCGGAGCCCCTCCAATGGAGAAGTTCAACAACTGGGGCGGGTCCCTCTCGCTGGGCCACCCCTTTGGGGCCACCGGGTGCCGCCTGGTCATGACGGCCGCCCACCGGCTGAAGAAGGAAGGAGGACAGTTCGGCCTAGTGGCCGCGTGCGCCGCAGGGGGGCAGGTAAGAGCCCGGGGGCCCTCCTCTCTCTGCAAGAGACCCTTGGTCAGAGCTCTGAGGCTTCGACTCCCTCACTGGCATTCCCAGCAGACCTCTGGGAGTCGGTACCAAGCGCTGGAAGACAAATAAAGCCAGGACACGAAGGAGCCATTAGTTCAAACTCCAGAAAGAGAGATTTCTTGTTTGTTTACTTTATTTATGCCCTGCCTGTCTGGTGGAGGGATTCAAAGAGATTCCATCCAAACTTTAGGATTTATTTTTTTTATTTGTCGTGTCAGATTAACCAGTCAATTATATTACATTTCTAACAGAACAAAGCAAACAAACAGATAAAATACAACATTTCTGAGGCTGGTAGTTGATTAAATGTCCTTTGCCCAGTATCTGGCCCCTTGGAGTGCCTCTGGTGTTGCCGCAAGAAGGTCCTCCCTTGTGCATCATGTGGCAGAAGGGCTCAAGTTGCATTGCAGCAGGTGGTCAGTGATTTTCTCCTCTCTGCACTCGCATGTCGTGGACTCCACTTTGTGGCCCCATTTCTTGAGGTTGGCTCTGCATCTCATGGTGCCAGAGCGCAGTCTGTTCAGCGCCTTCCAAGTCGCCCAGTCCTCTGTGTGCCCAGCGGGGAGACTCTCGTTTGGTATCAACCATTGGTTGAGGTTCTGGGTTTGAGCCTGCCACTTTTGGACTCTCGCTTGCTGAGGTGTTCCAGCGAGTGTCTCTGTAGATCTTAGAAAACTATTTCTAGATTTAAGTCGTTGACGTGCTGGCTGATACCCAAGCAGGGGATGAGCTGGAGATGTCTCTGCCTTGGTCCTTTCACTATTGGCTGCTAATTCCCGGCGGATGTCAGGTGGGGCAATACCAGCTAAGCAGTGTCATTTCTCCAGTGGTGTAGGGCGCAGGAAAAACTTTCTGACTGGAGAGGAGTGGAAAACTGCCTGGGGATCCATTGGAGTCTCCTTCTCTGGAGGTTTTTAAGCAGAGGCTGGGTGGCCATCTGTCGGGAGGGCTTGGATTGTGTCCTGCCTGACCAAAGGGGGATTGGACTGGATTGATGGCCCTTGGAGGTCCTTCAGATGCTAAGATCCTAAGATTTCTCTCTCTCTCTCTCTTTCTCAAGGGCCACGCGATGCTTGTGGAGCTTTACCCACAGTAAAGGCGCAGTGCAGACCCGCCGTCTTTCCCGGAATCACCTGCCCCGAACCCCCTCCATGGCCTTTGTAAATACTTTTTAGTCTCTTGCAAAAGCTGGTCAGACCAGCCAGTGGACGGACCCTCGCGAGTCTCTCTGCGATATTTAAGTACGGAACGGGCCTCCTGCCATTTGCCCATCAGTTTCACCGCAAGCCCTTTCGGCTCGTGGGAACGGCGTGCGGATTTGGAGACCTGCCGTCGCTGAAGGAAAGACCGTGCGGGTGAGCAGCCCGGTTTTTAAAGTGATGCTTTTTGCATGGACGGCGTGCCTTTCTCGAAAGAGGACAGCAATGAAATCGGAATGGCCCGTGCAAACGGAGTGTCCTGTTCCAACCATTGGAAGCAATGTCAGTCTGCACACCGTGGCCTTAATAAATGAGTGCAACCTTGCGAGAGAGGTTTGTCTTTGTGTGCAATTTCCCCTCAGTGCAGAGAAGGCAGAGTGTGGAGCTTCGCTTATTGGAAACCCCGTTGTGCCCACTTCAGCCAATGTGATTCTAGACCGCATCGAGAGGAGTGTAGTGTCTAGACCAGGTGTCAGGACCCAGATGCCTTCAAACACGCCAGACACAGTTCAAATGGTAAAACACAGCTTTATTGATAACAAAAAGTCTTGAAAAGCACTTAACTGCAGTGCTGAAGTCTATTGGAGTAGTTTGACACCAAAATTGAGTCAATAGAGCAAACTAAAACAGGGTTAGTCAAAATGAATAGGCCAATAAGAAAATTAATTTTAGACGAATGTATGTTTACTGTAACCAAACCACAGCTACGTAGCGACAGATAAACTATCAAAGTTTTTTTTGAGCAACACACATGTACGTTAATGCCGCTAGGCGTCGCTAGGGGTCGCTGTTTTCAAAATGGCGGAATCAAGCAAAGAGAAGGCGTTTTGTGTGATGACATTTGCTAAAACAATGTCAGTAATTACGGTCCAGCGAGAATTTCAAGGGTTAGGGTTAGGGTTAGGGTTAGGGTTAGGGATGGTTAGGACCTCAACGAACACCTTCCCAGACGTTGCTGCATTCGATGCCATTACGTCGGATGTGCTGCAACGGATGTGGAATGAACTGGACTATCGCTTGGACATCTGCCGTGTCACACGGGGCGCCCATATCGAACATCTCTGAAGGTGAGACAAAACTTTGATAGTTTATCTGTCGCTACGTAGCTGTAGTTTGGTTACAATAAACATACATTCGTCTAAAATTAATTTTCTTATTGGCCTATTCATTTTGACTAACCCTGTATAATCTGGATTATAGTGTAGACTCTTAATCCAGATTAAACTAAAAATGAAGCAAACTGCTTAAAAATCAATATGTAGCAGAAATACAGTCACTGGAGCAAGAAAATCACAGTTTCAGAACAAAAGAATGTTTCAGTCCCAAAAATATAAACACATAAAGTCCAGAAAAGCCAGAGCGTGGTCAAACCGGTCCTGAGGTCAATCCGAAGGAATCAAAGCTGGAAAGCTGGAACAACAGGAACTCACAAGGCTGGAGCCCAGGACCCAAAGGTGAGAGTTTGGCAAGGCAAAGAGTAAGGTCCCATTTGGACACTTTGCTTCCTGCAACTAGATGTGCCAACAGAACTCCCTTATATCTTAAAGCTCATTGTCAGAGCTTGATGAGCTCCCCACCCTTTCATCATCGCTATCACCTGCTTCCAAGTCTGCAGCTGAATGCCCATCTCTCCACCTTTGCCAATTACTATCAGGGGTCAGATTCTGCCAAGAATCACCTGGCTGCCAGTCCCCCATGAACCCCTCGAACTCCTCGCTGGAAGTGGGCTGGTTGCAGATGTCTCTTATATTCTGTACCTGAGTCCAATCCAATTCCTCCCCTTCCATGTCACTTCCAGACCCCAAATCCCCCTCAAAGCCCAAAAAGTCCTCCTCAGAAGTGGGTTCCCTAAGTAACTCCTGAATACACTTCCTCTGTGCTTCTCCTTCAGATTCTGGCTCACAAACAGTCCTTTTAACACCTCTAGATGCTTCCCCATTCCCCATGTCGTAATCTGAGAAGCCCATAAACGTATCACTGTCGCTTGGTGCCAGGAGGATTTCTCTAACGTGTTGACGCTGCCTTTCACTCTCTGACTCCCGAGGAGACCTTTCCCCACTGCTACTAGGAGTAGCAGCTCTGTCAGGACGCTGAGCTACAACACAAACATTCAATGCAGGGACACAAATTCTTATAGACTTCAACTCCTACAATTCCTAGCAGCCTACCGGTTTCCTCAGGCCCTTTAAGGAAAGGGCCTGAGGCCAGGAATTGTGGGAGATGAAGTCCAAAACGCCTGGAGGAAGGGCCAAAGTTGACCAAAGTCCTGGTCTACATGGAGAGAAGTCATAGTCCCACCCGATTCTGGTTCACTCAGGTCTTCTCACCTGCAATAATAATCCTGTGTCTAATTCTGGACAAAGGCAAAAGGCCATGATACACCAAAAAGTAATACAGTTATATAATCATAGGAATCATAGGAATCCGGACTCTGTACCCAATTACACTGTTCTACAAATTTTCAGTTTTTCTCAGTTACGGAAACGAAATGTGCCGTTTCTTAATAAATTTAACATGCTGAATTCAAATATAATAATTAAATGTGTTAATTGGCTCTGGTTTTTATGCAACAGCTATTTCAATTTTCTCCACAATAGGTAATTAGTTAATATTATGATAATGCGCCTAACCTTACTGCATGTATATAAACCGTGAATATTTACTAAATTTTAGTCAAATTATATTGCCAATAGTTTATACATGAGAAATATTTATTTAATTAGTCTATTGTTTATGTTTGTGCAGCAAGAAACTATATTAGTAGGCCTAATGCAGTTGAAAAGTCTGAAAGTTGAAATGTCGCTTTAATCGTGACTTTAGTTTATATCCTGTTTGCTTCTCTTGACTTTTCTTTTGTATTCAAGGAAAGGATTGTCTCTTCCAATGCTCCAGCAGTAGTCTGACAGCATTGACGGAGTCCATTGGCCTTGATATCTTTTTTCCATAGTGCTTTATTTACACACGTGCGAGGCATAACTACAGTAAAAAGAACAATGTAAAACGATGTTTAACGATACTGTCTCAGTCTTCAACTGACTGACCCTCACCGTTCAAAAGTCTGGCCTTATATAGGGCTTTCTGGCTTTTGCACACGGCACTAATACTGCGTCATCAAACTTTCTAGAATATTCTAGAATCTTCCATAGTTTAAGTCGCAACATGCATTTTTTCAACCATACGTGATCACGTGATTGCTTATATCATAAAAACTAGAGCCAATATACATTTTAAATGTCATTTTCGTTTTCAGCACCCCAAAATCATAAAAGAACAACTATTTTCAGGCCCGAAACTTTTTCTCCGTTGAACAGTGTATTCAATGTACTAGCAACTCATTAAGGTTATACCAGGTTGTGAAAAACCTCCCATGATAACACACAAAAGAACACAAAACTTGAGAGACATGTTGGTACACTCAGATATTAACCATGATTCTCAAACTATGAGGATTAGATCTAATTTAGTAGGATTTTTTCCTTGTCACCATTGCGCCATCTGTCCGCAATTCATTCAAACTAAGGTTTTTCAGAATGCCCAAACTAAGAGTGTTTATCAACTTCAACACTTTGCTACATGCACCACCAAAGGTGTTATTTATGTTATTTCCTGTCCCTGCTCCCTGATGTATGTTGAGCAGACCAGCAGACAAATTGTAATTGAACACAAGAGTAAAATTAGGAATCAGGCTGTTGACTCAAGCCTGTATAAACATTTCAATGTCGTGAACCATAGTCTTAAATCGTTCCAGGTC